GGAGAGCAGGGGCACGTGTTATAATCAATCAACTACTGATTTTGCAAGATTACTTCATTGTTCGATTGCCCGTTGCGTAAAGAATTAAGAGCGGAGATTAAGCTTACACATTTTCGTGTGCAGCATCATTGGGTGTACACAAAATGAGGCGAAGGCTGTCAATAAAGCATGTCCCCAGGGCGCACTCCTTCTTGTGAACTATGATATTATCACTGTTCTACTGTCACGGGTCTACAGAAAACAAACTATGAGTACTGAATGCTGGAATGTGCAAGCACTTCTGGAACCTGGTATTCAAAGTCTGACGGCGCGCAGTCTCTTGGTGGCATATGCAAATGCAGGATGCCGCGTGACTCTCAAGGAAGCCTACATCCCCGAGGCTAAAGGACAGATATTTTGTTTCAGTAATAAAGGCCACCATGCGACCCGTCAAAATGGCATCTGCCGACGGTGTTTCACATCGGCAGTGCAGGGTATTGGGAGTAGTTTTCAACTAGCAATAACCGCGTCTCAGATAGACTTCACTGACTACGGTACCGCCACTGCGCAAAGTTAATCATAAATACACCTAACTTGGCCCACCCCTGATAATCACCTTGCCTCAATTGACCTCATTCACAACGGCTCATTTTATTTTCTAATTTTCCACTTCTTATATCTAATTCTCCATAACACTACAAATCTTCATTAAATTCCATCTTATATCTAATTCTCCATAACACTACAAATCTTCATTAAATTCCTTGTGTGAATCCCCGACTCAGGCGCCCGATAAGTAAAAATCCTGGGAGTAGATTCTCACCCCACCCTTTATCACAGTGGCCCACGCGATTTTTCCAGTAGACACGGTGTAGCTATTGCCTTCTCAGAACAAGCAAACCGTGTAATAGAGGAATGGGGACCAGTCAACGACCGGATGGCTTACATTCGACTAAAGGGTCACTTTCCAAACATCTTTGTCGTCTCTGTATATGCACCAACATCAGCGGCCGAACAGCAAGATAGGAAAAACGTCTACTCCTATCTACGGGAACTAGTTGAAAAG